GTATATTAATGGGGATGCAGTGCAGCTGAGGTTCTGGTCTCTTGGGTCTGGATGTTTTGTCTCTTATCTTGAAGCCTTGCCATTCTTATGCTCCTGGATTTCAGATTACCCATTCTGAGCCCTGTGAGATGGAGTCCAGGCAGATATGTTACAGTGCAGGGGTGCTACGTAGTACAAAATATATCATGCCTGGCTGCCCGCTGCAAATTTGTAGGTGAGAGATAAGTATGGAAACCTTGCTTCCGCAGGAAACATTCTCTGATGCAGATGGGATGGAGTTTTTCAAAATGTCCCCAGAATGCAAGTGCAGAAGACTTCCTAGGAGGACACAGAGTTACTTTGAAAGGGAAACCATCCCTCTCTTCAAACTGTGTTGAGTGGGCCCCATATGGGTTTTTAAAATTCAGCTTAGCACATAGGAATCTCATTGCTCAGGGGCAGCTGTCCACTCGGTGGACCCTGGGGCCATGCTGGTGAAAATGACAACCAGTTCTGTGGCCTCCACATCCTGTGGCCAGTGGGGAGTCTGCTTCCTGTTTCCTGATGTCAAGAGTGGGGTGAGCCCAGCCCAGTTCAGTCCTGTTCCTCCTTATCTCTGTCATGTCTTGCACTAGGGAAGGGCAGGTGGTGGTTTCTCACAGTGATGTAAGGGGGAGGGTCGAGGGAGGAGGGCAGGTGCAACCTTCACACCTCCCTGCAGCCCAGTAGGGGACAAGGAAGGCAGGTGCCATCTTCCCACTTCCCTGCAGAGCAGAGGAAGCCAGCTTGGGCATCCTTGGGCCAGCCCTGTCATTGCTATCCGTATGGCAAAAAGGAAGCCCCCAAATGCTCAGTCTGAATGCATATGATCCAACTACCTTGCTGATGCTAGGCAGGTCTAGGCTTAGTCAGTAACTGTCCTGAATGAAAGATTTGTTGGTGAACTTACAAGGACCATTTTGAGCTCTGTCAGAGAAGAAAGGCGGGATGTAAATAAATGCCATACTGCTTAAATGATGTTCTGTAGAGCAAGAAATAGAATTTTTGGTGCAGTCTAGCAGGACTCTTCATACGTGTCTTTTGTTCTTCTGCTGCTTCTGATCAAATAGGTGTTGCTTGTTTCTGGAATAATACCAGGGGTCATTTCCTGCAGGAGTGCACAGGAGCGGAGCTCCGGCAGTAAAGAGCCCAGGGGGTGGGCACATGCAACAAGCCCCACCCCCTGTTCCCAGCAGCCCTCAGTCAGAACAAGAAGCAGCCAGGTAAGTTGCAGAGCTCCCCCTGGCCCCCCGGTCCAAAACAGTCCAGTGGCACCCTTAAGACCAAGTTTTATTGAGGTACAAGCTCTCCCTCCTCTGCGAGGACAGATCTGCACGTCCCCCCCCAATAGCTAGCAATCCAAAACAGTCTAGTGGAGCCTGAGCGGTGGGAGTTGCCTTCTGACACACTTCCGGTGATGTAAGGGGTGTGTGGCATATGCAAATAAGTTCTGCTAATGCTTATGCTAATGAGCTCCTGCACCTCTTTTTCTACGAAATGACCCCTGAATAATACAAAACCTATTTACAAGAGATGAGACTGGGGTTAACTGTATACACCCTGATGAAAAATCCCTCGTGCAAATTGCCTGCTTCTCTGAGAAATGATGCTCTGTCATCCCCAATTGTTTTTTATCTTGATCCTTGCTGTGTAAAGACAGAGAATAGGATCCTGCTACCCAGTTCCACAAAATGCAGAGACTTTCTCCAGAGGAAGAACCTCTTTGGCCTGCCAGGACGATCTGTACTTAGTTGAGTGGTAGGTAGGGTTGCCAGCAATGTTCCCTCTAAGCTGTGGGGTGTTGTGAGCAAGAATTCTACTTGGTGAGCTACTAGCATTGAAGTTGTGAGCGAGCTATTTGGCTACTGCATAAATTAGTTTGCTCTGGAGCCCTCCTTCCTGAGCGAAGACAAAAAAGTGTGAGCCGGAGGCTAAAAAACTGTGAGCTAGCTCGCACTAACTCAGCTTAGAGGGAACACTGGTTGCCAGATCCAGGCTTGTTGTAATATCTACCTGGGGATTTTGGGGGTGAAGCCTTAGGAGGGTGGGGCTTAGGGAGGGACTTCAGTTGCGTATTAATGCCATAGAGTCCACTCTCCAAAGCAGCCATTTTGTCCAGGTGAACTGATCTCTGTTACCTGAAGATCAATTGTAATCCCAGATCTCCAGCCAGTACCTGGAGGTTGGGAACCCTAGGAGGGTACAAATGCCTCTATGGCATCCTGTAGACACTTCAGAAAAAATATCAGGAAACAGTCCAAAGGGAGACGGGTTCTTTACTTCATAGAATTCAGTCTTACAAGGTAAAAGATGGGGACAGAAAGAGGGCTGCTGCCAGCTCTGGATTGGGAAATAGCTGGGGGATTTGGGGGTGGAGTCTGAGGAGGACAGTGTTTGGGGAGGGAAGGGAGCGCAGCAAGGTATAATGCCATGGAGCACACCTTCCAAGGTGACCTTTTTCTCCAGGTGAACTGGTCTCTATTGCCTGGAGATCAGTTGCAATCCCAGGGGATCTCCAGCCACCACCTGGAGGCTGGCAACCCAATGTGGCCCCAGAGTCCATCCTCCAAAGCAGCCAGAGAAACTGTTCTCTGTAGACTGGGGATCTCTACATGGCCAATGTGATCTAGTCTGATGGACTGTCATGGAGATCAGTTGTAATGGCGGGAGATCTTCAGCCACCAGCTGGATGCTGGCAACTCTGGACAGAAAGGACTGCCCCAGTGTCACCCCACCACCAGTAGAGAGAGAATTCCAGACTTACTCCCACCAAACCCTGGAACAATTCTTTCCCCAACTCTTCATGTTTCCTGTGCTGGTTTTAGCCCATCTCTCTGGGGATGATGCCAGCAGTGGGTAGGGCCGCGGGTGCAAAGTTTCCCATCCAAAGTGGCTGATAAGGGGACTGTTATCTTTTCCTTGCAGAGACAGAGTGGGCACCCTCGTGGCTTCATGAATGTCTGCTCCAGGCAGCTGCACGCTGCAGATTCGCAGAGCCGGCTCTGAGGTGAGGGGGAAGCCAACGTGGGTAGCTTATCAAGGAGCAGATGGGCGTCTCCACCCACACCATGCTGGGACTGAGAACTGGACTCCCCCCCCCCAAAGGATTCTGGGGAATTCAACTGCACCACCCTTGGCAGCAGAAAAGGGAACATGTCTGGCTGCCGCTCAGACCTGCAACCTGCATTTCAGCTACTGCTAGATCCCAGACCTTTATTCCTTTCCTTTAATGCTAGATTCATTTGACCTAAGGTCCTAAGTCAGGCCACACTGAATTATTTTTTTATTATTATGTGTATATGTTTTTATATATTTTAAACCCTTCTTTATTTCTAAATTTGGAACTAACCTTTTAAAAATTCTTAACTCCATCATTAAAAAAAAATAATAATCTTTTCCTTCCAAGTAATCACCACAGAGAAGAATTTTGCTATGGCTCAAGTAATCCTTGTATCCTCAATAAAAATGGAACAATCTTATTTCTGTCAACAGACACTAAATTTCTCAGGATAGGATCCAACCATTTTGCTCTGTATAGGTCATACCATGGGCAATACCAGACCATAATATCCAATGTTTCAAGCTCTCCCCAACAACGTCCACAGTATTTGTCCTTTATTTGTTTAGATTTATATTCCGCAAATGGGCTCAGAGCGGATCACATCATAAGTGGATAAAAACATACATTAATAAATATATAGCAATATTAATACCTGGAATGTGGTTTTCATATAGTGGCCCCTCAGAAATTACTGATATGAACACATTCATCCTGGCTAGAAAAAAGCTCAGCTATAGGTGGCCATTATCCAAACTTTCAAATACGGCAGAACTTTATTAACGTTCTCACTAACGCTCAGGGTGGACAACAGCGGCAGAACAATAGCATGAGAGATGTAATAAGCAATGCAATAGAACTAGCATTACAACAATTGGAAACGATGCAAAAATATTAGATGCGATACGTTAAATGAATGCAGAAGACGGTATTACAAGTAGAAAACAATGCAGTAAGAGCAGGATAATACACAGTGGCATAGACTGCAATCCTGTTCCCTTTATAATATCGTAGCCCTGTCCCCTTAATAAAAATGCTCTGCTGCACAATTCTGTTTTGCATTGTTGGCTGTGTTTGTCTGCACAGCATATCTTTTTTCCCCCTTTGATGTTTCTGCTGCTCCCGGCCCAGTACTAATCCCTGCCTATTCCACACCTATATTTATTTGAATTAACTTTATTTATAGTCGCCTTTCTCACTCGGACTTCAGGTGGATTACACAGACTGAGTCAATAAAATCAAAAGGATGGGACATTCAATGAACAAACAATAAAATGGAATCTGAGTTGCAGAAACAACCAGAAATATAAAAAAACAGAACTGAAGCAAAGCAGACTCTTAGCATCACACAGTAAAATGTGGCAAAATTACACAGTAGGATCCAACTGACAGCAAACTATACGCAGTAGTCTAGACCACAGTCCCTAATGATTTTTCCAAGTACCTTTGTGAAACATTTAGTACAGCGCCGCTCTCTGGCCTGCACAGAAAAGCCCCCTTGAAGTTTTGCACAGTTTGCGGAAAGCCAGGAGAGCAGGAGCCTTCCTGACTGCCTTCTGCAGACCATTCCGCGAAGCGGGGGCTACAACGGAGAAGGCACTTGTACAGGCAATTGTTGATTTTGACACACTCCTGGGGTTGTAAGCAGTGCTCCCTCTAAGCTGTGGAGCCTTGTGAGCAAAAATTCTACTTTGTGAGCTACCAGCATTAAAGTTGTGAGCGAGCAATCTGCATAGATTAGTTTGCTCTGGAGCCATCCTTCCTGAGCTAAGACAAAAATGTGTGAGCTGGAGGCTAAAAAACTGTGAGCTAGTTCACGCTCACTCAGCTTGGAGGGAACAGTGGTTGTAGGTTCAGGTTTTTGAGGGGTTTTCTAAACCAAGTGCTGAATTTTCCCCAATTGTACCACATGCTGCATCACATTTAATGCAGCAAACCAAGTGTTTATTTTTTTCTTTGGGCTTCCCGCTTTCCAGTAACCTGTTGTACCAATGCATCTGCAGAGAATTCAGGAGAGTGTCCTTGAGCATGTTAAACCTCAGCACTGAGCACATGGAAATGCTTTACGCCATCTAGCCCAGTATTGTCTTCTCTGACTGACAAAGGCAGAGAAAGGGCTCTTCTAACACCCGCTACTTGAGATCCTTTTAGCGGTAGATGCCAGCAACTGAACTGAGACCTTCTGCATGCCGAGCATGTGTTCCTTCGCTAAGCTGTGGCCTTTGTGAAGCTTGATACAGGTGGGCAAGCTGTCCTCCAGGGAGAACATGAAGTGCAACTGTGGACAATGTCTTTACTCCAGTCCCAAACTGAGCATTTAAGTTGCAGCAGCAGCAGCAGCAGTGTTTTACATAGTTTTAAAAAGTGTAATGCTTGAACAAATGCTAGGGCTATTATAAATTTTTCAAAATTATTTTTCAACTCCTTTTCCTATTTGCCTGTTAATTTTGTCCGTCATCCTGAGGACTTGCCCCATCGCATAGCAAGACGCAAAGAAACAACAGCCATTTGGCACATCAAGCATAAACAAATACATCCCAAATACGAAACCAACTGGTAACAGTAGGTAAACAATGGTGGAGGAATTTTGAAAGTGTGCCAGGCTGAAAGCCAAGACAACTTAGGTTAGGGTGGCTAACAGTTTGCTAGGCCAAAAGAAGCAGATATTTTGTTTGCTACATCATGTTTCTCCCCTTCATGGCAAGTGTTTGATCAGTTTCAGATATCATAATCTTTGGCAATACTCTGAGCCTCAGAATCGTGCAAGAGTTCCAAGCAGAGGATGTACCTCCCTAGGAATTCAGAATACTGTTTGGTATTTATTTCCATTTAAATCCCATCTTTCTTACAAGAAACTCAAGCCAGTGAACGCAAGCTTCCTGGGAGCTTCCTGATGAAAGCACTAAGCAGGTCCTAACCGGGTGTGTGGCCTAATATGCAAAGGAGCTCCTGCTACAAAAAGAGCCCTGCGGGCCAGCTCCAGACTTGCTTAGCTTCAGTGGCTCAGTGGTGGAGCATCAGCTTGGCATCACAGAGCTGGAAGGGGCCATGCAGGCCATCTAGTCCAACCCCCTGCTCAGTGCAGGATCGGCCTAGAGCATCCCTGACAAGTGCTTGTCCAGTCGCAGCTTAAAGACTGCCAGGGAGGGGGAGCTCACCACCTCCCTAGGCAGCTGATCAGGGCCTATGCCGAACCTCAATCTCTGACATTTTATGCCTGGCTCTATCGTCTGTGGCCGCCATTTTGTGGCTGCGCCCACCACACTGTCAGAATTCCAACACTGCCCACAGCTTGAAAAATGTTGAGGATCCCTTATCTACAAGAATATCTGGTTAACTGCTATGGAGATTTAAGTGACTAATCAGTATGGGGAAGACCTCCTTAGTCTCAGACATGTGACTGCTCCAGGGATACAAAACAAAAACATCCAGGCTTTCCAAATGGTTCAAAACATCTCCGGTGCCTGAGACCTCTGCCTGAGACCCTGAAGAGCTACTGTCAGTCTGAGTAGACAGTACTGACTTTGATGGACAAATGGTCTGATTCAGTATAAGGCAGATTCATGTGACAAGGTTCCTGCATCATGCGTCTGCGCCTTCAGGTCACATCTTGGTAACCGGCAGAGAGAATGGCTGAGATCAACCCTCAACTGTGTCTTTTCTCACATTCATTGCAGAACTTTGCTGCCACGGCTGACTTTGGGGGCACCCTGCTGGAGCAGATGCTGGGCAGGGCCCGGCCTGACAAAATGCCCCCCTGCCCACCACAGCAAGGCTGGACTCGGGGTACCTACCTCCCCTTGTACAATCCCCTGGCAGGGGGGGAACCTGGGTCACAGGGGGAGATGGAGCTCACTTGGCAAGAGATCCTGTCCATCTCCGAGTTGCAGGTAAGCACAGGCAAGCTAAATCAAAACTAAAACCACCTGAGAAATGTTACAAAGGTGACGTGGTCACGGACGCTAGAAAAAGTAGCAGCCAAAAGGAGATGGGAGTGACTTTTGCCATCTGTGCTAAGAGGATGTGAACGAAGGGAGCAAGGAAAGAAGATGAGATAGTATTAGATTTTGAGTTTTCTTCCAAGATACGGAGAACCAGCATGGTGTAGTAGCTAGCGTTATCAGAATAGGATCAGAGAGACCCAAGTTTGAATACCCATCCTGCTATGGAAGCTCACTGGGTGACCTTGGGCCAGGGTTGTAATGTAGATAAAATGAGAGAATGATGCCGTAAGCTACTTTGGGTCCCCACTAGGGAGGAAAACAGTCTATAAGAACCAGTGTGGTGTAGTGTTTAAGAGCAGTGGACTCTAACGGGAGAACCGGGTCTGATTCCCCACTTCTCCTCCACATGAAGCCTGCTGGGTGACCTTGGGCCAGTCACAGTTCTCTCAGGACCCTCTTTAGTCCCACCTGTCCCACAGGGTGCCTGTTGTGGGGAGAGAAAGGGAAGGCGGTTATAAGCCGCTTTGAGACTCCTTCGGGTAGAGAACAGTGGGGTATGAAAAACAACTCTTCTTCTCAATATCGAATTAGAACTATATTCTATCATTCCTTACTTCCGAGAATAGGTAGTGTTGCTCTGTCATCCCACCATGGTTTCTGAATCCCAGCATCCCCATGGAATAAGTAGCCCAGGGACAGAGCATAGTTTTGGTGATGAAAGTGGGCTGAAAGAGTGATTGTGATTCCTACTGTGTTCATTCAGCCCTCTTGTGCCTTTGGTAAACAGGTTCTGTAGGATTTTATAATGCTTCAGAAATCTGCAGAACGCGTTTGGCTGGAAGTAATAACGGAGCACAAGAAACATGTGAACACACAATCCTCTAAAAGCTATTTTTTGTCTCCACCATGCACAAGTAGATAGTTTGAAAGTACCAAATAGCAGAAACGTAAGACCTTTTTTAAAAAAACGCAAAGCACACTATTCTTCTGTTTTTAAAAAAACCCTTTAGAAACTTGGAAGTATTTGCTTCATTATAGACAGCCAAATCAGAAATGCAGCGACAGACCTGCATTTAATTTATAATATAAATGCATCATAAAAACAATTTCTACTACCTTTTCTAGAATGGTCTGTATAGTACAAAGTTTTTATGATGAACAAACTACTTTAGGCGGTGATTCAATTTCATCACACAGCGATTTAAAAAACTGCCTCGGAATGTTCAAGCATGAGAATAATGGGGACAGTCAAGGGAGAGGATTGGGCTCTTGGTTGCTGAAGTCACAAAAGCCATTCATGGAACACTGAAAGATGTTTTTCCTTGTTATCCTTTGGAGGATGTGGTACAAGGGTATGCAGCCCCCATGTACAGTCAATTAACTCCAAGTACAGTCAATTAACTTCCTGCTCCCTCTCAGATTTCTGATGGCCTTTCCCCTGGCTGTGGCAGCAGAGAGAATCAGAAGGCAGACAGATGTCCTCTCAGACATATGATTGTAGAGATTATAAACTAATTTGGATCATTCACCACCAGGAGTTGGGATACAGAACTAAGGAGTGTTAATCTTCTCCTTCCAAGGCCTTCCAGTTCATTCTTCTAGAGACATGGCCTAGGGTCCCCTATGCTGCACTTAGGGAAGCGAACCAACAGGTTTTTCAACTTCGCAGTCATCCCCCCTCCCCCCTCTAGTACTAGCTGGAAAGGAAGGAGCACGAACAGTAGGAAAGGAAGCTACTCAACACAGCGAGCTCAGGCAGCTCACACAGGGGCTTAGTCCTTCCACGGAGGTGTGGACCGAGTCCCTGTCAAGGGGTGGCAGGTATCCATTACACACAGCTGCCTCTCTTTAATCTCGCCTTCCCCAACAGTGGCCCATTCAGCACCTGACCCAGGGGAGACGTGGGGTGGGGGAAACAGCACACAATGGGGGATCTGTACGACAAGATGAATCACCCTTTTGTTCAGAGGGGGAATGCTATCGACCCATCCATCGCTGCCAGCCCGGCACCTGCGTATGCCTCTTCAGCTCCCCCCCCCCCCTCCTCAAAGGATGAAAACACACCATGCTGGCAGGAAGTGCAGCAAAGAGCACTGGGGTGCTAGGCCCAGGACCCTCCTTTGCCGTAGAACTGAATTAAAAGCAAAAGGCAGAGCAACTTGCTTGTTAGAACCGTCCTCTGCCATGGCCTTGATTGGAGCATGCTCAAAAGCAGCAGTGGGATCCCTGCACTGTCAGAGCTAGACCCAGAACAGGGGATGGGGATTTTCAGAGGGTGGTTAGTCAGGAACTGCCTGGGCGGGAGGCCAGAACTCCTGGTTTTATTCCACTCCTTGCTGCAGGGGGAAGAACCTGGGTCTCTTAAGCTACCTCCAGAAGAATGCCTGCTGCCCCTTGGTCAGTGTGCTTCTCCTTTTCCCTGCAGGGCCTCGAGATGCCAAGCGAGAGCTGCTATGACCCTGCTCTGTGTGGCCTTGTGCAACCAATGGGACCAGCTTCGAACTACGGGCCATGCACAGCAACGGGAGACAACTCAGGGTCTGCCTATGGCCACCCTGCTCCGGCATATGAACATTCATACCCAGAAACCGTGCCCACCCCCCGTGGTCTATACAGCTACACAGGCATGCTGATCTCTTCCACTCTCCAGCCTCCAGGAGCTACCGCAGCAGGGGGCTGTAAAAGGCTGGTATTGGAGGGGGACTTGGTTAGTGGTTGTGGACCACAGGGGTCTTGCAAGCCACAGGAGGACCTGGAATCAGACTCTGGGTTATCACTCAATTACAGCGACGCAGAATCACTGGAAGCAGAGGGGCTGGAGCAGGCGGAGTATACACCGCTTTACCCTATGGACCATACACAAGCCTACCCAATGTTGGCCCCTGTACCGGAGATGCCTTTCCCCACCCCACCAATGGCACCTTTGGAGAAGGGACGGAGCCCCCGTGGGGAACTGGCAGGCAGCCGTGACGAGCGCCGGGCCCTAGCTATGAAAATACCCTTCTCTGTTGAAAAGATCATTAATTTGCCAGTGGACGACTTCAACGAGCTGGTGTCACGCTTCCCCCTGAGCGAGCCCCAAATGGCACTGGTCCGGGACATCCGCCGCCGTGGCAAGAACAAAGTGGCTGCTCAGAACTGCCGCAAGCGTAAATTAGAGACCCTGGTGCACCTGGAGCGGGAACTGGCCGAGCTGAGCCGCGAGCGGCAGCGCTTATTGCGAGACCGTGGTGAGTTTGATAGGACTCTAGCGCTCACCAAGCAGAAGCTGGGGACCCTTTACCACCAGGTCTTCTGCATGCTTCGTGATGAAGCTGGCAACGCCTACTCCCCAGAGGAGTACTCACTGCAGCTCACCCTTGATGGCAGTGTCTTCCTCGTGCCACGCAACAAACAGCTGGATAATAGCACTGATTGACAGTATGGTAAACATACAGGCAGCAACGTGACTGAAGCCAAGAGATTCCTAGGAGTGACACAAGGCTGTTTTCAAGACCATCTAGGTCAGGATTTGAGATTATCCAAATGCCAGGTTTGAAATTGCAGGGGCCTTCGGCAACTGAAAATTCAGCCAAACTCTTGCCTTGGATGTTATGCCCCTCATACCCTATGGTTAAAAAAAAAAAATAGAATGCAAGTTTCAGTGCATTCGGAGAAAAACTGGTGCAGGCAGTGGAATGGACAACTGACGTCCCGTCCCCAACCACAAAAACGTTAAAGGAGCACATGGGTAGGAATGGCCGGGCTAGAAGATGGCCAGGGTTCTAAAACCAGTATCAATGATAACCCCAAGAGCCCCGTCTTCTGCTTATGTCTCACTCATGCAAGCATTAACAATATTTGAGATGTATGTTATCGGGAACGGAGGCTGGCAAGAGGGGGAGATTACCCTGTCCCCCACTTCTTTTCAGCCCCACTGAGGGCTTTGGCCATCACGGCCTTAAGGAATTGCTCTCCCAGGTTTGGTACTTCAGTATTACATCCAAGCCTCCCCACGCCCAATGAGCTGAATGGTCTCAAAAGTGGGCTGAAGAGATTACAAAAGGCCACACACATTTTCCCTAAAGTGATGCTACAAAAACACTCTGCATGAGAAGAATTCTGCTATCTGTACAAATTAAGCACTTACGCATCATTTTAGTTTTGGCAACAAGGCAGGCAGAATCATGCTCAGATGCCACCAGGCTTGTACACTAATTTCAGTGTTTTGGGAGAGTACAAATAGTGCTTGGTTTAATGGTAAGGCTAGACTGCAGCTCATGAACTTCACCTATTAAATCTTAACTCATCTAGATGAAGGGATTAAAACCAGGGAACCTTGGCTCTTACAAAAGACAACCCATGTTTTGTACTTCTGCTGTATCTTTCTAAAATGGTATGGAGAGGCTAGCTAGCCCTCGCTATGTCAGGTATTTGTGCTTCTAATATAAAGCAGTTTATTCTACCAAGCAGTGTTAGCATGGATTTTAAAAAGTTTTAATTAAACTGAAACTGCCACTGGATTGGAAAGATTTTTCATAAAAGAGGGTGGTGCAGCCATCAAGATTTGTCAAACCATGTCAATCATGTGCATTTCTCTTGCCAGCCACTGCCAGAGGCATGCCCTGAACAACCCAAGTGTAAATAGCCACACACAATCTTTGTGCAGAATAAACCACTGGTTAACATTTTAAGTGTCCCTTACTGTAATCGAGAGGGGATGGGGTAAACAAAAGCAGCTTATTTTACCAGATTGTTTCAGAGGGTAACAGTGTTTGTCTCCAGTTAGAACAGATAATTTGAGACTCTTGGAAATCTTCTTGGTTACTAAAGTACTACTGGACTCCAATCTCTGCTTTTACCAGTGGCACTAGTGGTCACATCACATGAAGCTGTCTTACAGACTCGGACTCATTGGTCCAAAGTCAATATTGTCTACTCAAGACTGGTAGTGGCTTTCACATCAACCTCCTACCTGATTTTTAAAATGAAGATGCTGGGGATTCAACCTTCATCCTTCTACATGCCAAGCAGATGCTCTACCTCTGAGCTAAAGCCCCTCTTGAGGGTTTGATGAACAGAATGAAAGCTCAGCCAGGAACTGTTTTAACAGAAGGTCACACGTCTAGGATCAGGGCAGGGGGTCTACTGTTGGGAGCACATGCCTTACAGCAGGGGTGGCCAAACTTGCTTAACGTAAGAGCCACATATAATAAATGTCAGATGTTTGAGAGCCACATTACAGGAACAAATATTAGACATGGGAAAATATGCAAATTTGCTTTTTATTAACATTAAACGAGACTGCCAAAAATAAAAACAAAAGGGATAAAAATAGATATTGATAATATTTATTTGTCCAATGATATTTGTAGGGTGGGGAGGCCATTGAGAACACATTTAAAGTTGCTTTCTTTCTCTGCTCCCCTCTGCCTCAAGCCTACCCAGGAAAGGGAAGACCAAACCCACTGGTGGACCTCCTGATGGCACTGGTATTTCTGGCCACTGTGTGACAGAGTGTGTTGGACTGGATGGGCCTTTGGCCTGATCCAACATTGGTGTCTCTTATGTTCTTATGAAGCATGCCTCCCCTTCGCTTCCCCAGCTGCCCTGCCAGGAGCCAAACAGTATGTGTGAAAGAGCCGCATGTGGCTCCCAAGACATTGTTTGGCCACCCATAGAAACCTATACTCAATAAAACTTTTTTTAGAAATAGACATCTGAAGATTAAACCTTCTGTAAAGCAATACAGAATGCTTACATCTACTACATTCTCACAGTCAGAGAAGTGGCAAGAAAGAAATGCTACAGAACCCTTGCTGGAGGCCACTTGCCCCAGGAATGAGTCAGGACAGGAACCCTTACAGGCCTTTGTAATTTCAGCATCCTTACCTCTTGTCCCCTAAGAAAGAACCCCTGAAGGGGCCACACCAAATTGAGCCAGCCAGCTGGTGCTCACAGCAATTTCACGTTAGGGAGGGAAAAACTTTTATATATACCTTGCTTAGAAGAGGCAGCAGTGTTGGCAACGATTCACCAAATGACCAAAGCATGAAACGTGTTATAGGCAGACACAGGTTCATCTTCGTCCGAGCAGACTTGCACTCAGAGCCCAAGGTCCAAAATCCACATTACATACCTCATTTGAGCACCATGGGGACTTCTAGCATGACACCAGCTGTGAATTCCCTATGGGAAGTCAATTCAGACGTGTCACAGGGGCCTAATTTGGATTTGGGTTGCAGCACAGGTGGGAGGAAATGCATGTACTGTTTTCCTAACTCTGGGAAGACCCTAAAGAGAGTTTTGTTGCCCCCATGGTGGCATGTATCACATGCTCTGAATGCTTGCATGTGGAGGTCCACCTTCCCACTTTCAACAAAACAGCCTTGTTCCCAAGTCTGATCAGCCCCCTACAGTGCTTCTGGATTCAGTTCCCACACGCAACTCACAGCTCGCATCCAGCAATGACAATCACATGGTACACATCACATAGTTTAGCCTGAACTCTCACATACCTAGAATAGCTATGACAATGAGACTTGCTACTACTCCGGAGCTTAAACCTGCCTTTCCTCCTTGCAAACCAAGTACCCAACTAGAAGGAAAAAGAGACTTTGCCTCATAGCGGTTCGCTCCCCCATCCTGCCCTGGGTTGGTTGTGAATGACTGCATGGAACACACTGGGAATGACTTCGCTATTAACAATTTTCAAAACACAACACAGTTAGTACAAAAAGCTTTATTGAATACAAAATTGTGGTTCATACGAATCACTTATACATATAGCTACCCAGTAGCCATTTAGCTTTCACTGAAAGATATAGGGTATCCAAATTGTGTCCTGCAAAAGAAGAAAAATAACCGCCAAGTCATAACATCAAGACAGCAGCATTAAAGCATATTTTTCGGAACACATCATTACAGTTTTACCAGCAACCTCAAATTTACTTATCAGCTAGAAACAGTAAAACCCTATGGAGCCCACCCCTAAGCCCTATACACTGACTTCTGTCACTGGTTTGTTTCTATAAAGCTACCCAAGTAACTCCCACTTCATTCCGTTCTTCCTCAGATGTTGGCTTTACCTTTTTTTGAAAAGGGAAGGTCCACAGACATCCTAGTCCCTGCACAAATGTGCTTGACGCCAGGCAGCTCCTCTTCTCCTATAAAAAGGAAAACCCATTAATTTTGCTTGATACAGGCTCTCTACCTTACATTCCACAGATGCCTCACACAAGCCTCCCCACTCCCCCCTGAACATCCTGCTGCATTTACAAGCAGCACAGCCAGTGCATTGAAATACTGGGCTAAGTTTTTAAGCTGGCAAGGCCACCCGAAGAGGGTGTTTAAAAGAGGCAATGCATTCATTAGGCAAATTTCACCAGCCATTGTCATTCAAGGCCTGGGGGCGAATAGTTTTAATCTTCCAATCAGCATTATGTTCTACCCATCTAATGCTTGTATATTACAGCATTGGGCAAAGTTATAAAGCAGTAGCTGAACTGATGTTTAGAAGATAAACTCTCAGCCTCTGAGAAAGTTTAGCCGGACAATAAAACTGTATATGACATAAGTAAAATCTGTTCTTACCTACCAGTACAGTAATATAACCTTTCCTTCCTTCTGCGTCTGACTGCTAGTCCTAAGAGCAAGGATCCTTACTCTTGTCTGCCTCCTTCCGGTGGTCACTGAGCACTCCCTTCTAGTCAGCAGAAGCCTGCACCTGGCTTATCTGTCCACTCGACTCAACACACGTGTCTACTCTCAGCTGTGGTAGCGTCTGAGCTGGAAGTCATTCGGAGCTATGCTTGCTAGCCGTTCCTAGTAGCTCAACCATCTGCATGCCTCCTGGATTTGTAAAGCTACTTAGTTTCCGGATCCTGGCGAGCTCTCCTCTGTTGTGGTTATGCTACCATGCCAAAAACGAACATTACTCCATGAATCCTGAGGTCTTGTCTCCCTCAATAGAATAAGGATCCACCTGCTATTGCAAACTCAGCCACATAAAACCCATCAGAACTAATCATTTTTGCAATCTAAATAAAGCCATTTACTAATCAGAAAAAAGTTATACACACAACCACTGTAACTTTAAGCAGGTTTTAAGGTTTTTGCACAAGTTCAATGGGTCCTAGGTCACAAGAAATTTGATGTGTGCTCACATCCCACTGAAGGTCAACAGGACTTACAGTCCTCTTGACCACTATTTAAAGTTTCAGTTCCAGCTCATGTAAATGGATAGAGGAAATAACCAGAAAACAGATGAAGCCAGAAAATGGCATCTGAAACTCCATTTCTATTACACACAGGAAATGTGAACAGATTCCACAGAGGCTTTGAGGATTCAAACCCTCAAAGGGAACACTAGTTGAGATGCTCCAACTCCCTCCTCACTGGGAGAAGAACCATTGTTGGAAGAAATACAATTATCTACTGAGTGGCTATGGCAGACTGGTGATGCCAAAGCCCCAAGACCCATTTTATCATTGCTTTATTACTCCAGTGAGGGGACTGATAATTTCACATTTGCTTTGGAATCTTGCTTCCTGGTAGAAAAGCTTAAACTAACACCGATAAGGAACACGTTAAGTATTCTGTGATGGGTTTTAAATCTTTTACCCAATGGTATCAATCTAGCCCTGCTGCATTCAATGCAGAACCTGACTCAGTTTACAGTGTTCCCCACCCCACACCATAGTCTGGCTGCTCAGCAGTTTCCTTCGTAACCACTTTAGTAAGTGACAGGTACTTTATGACCACCCCCAAAACATGCAACTAGGAAAGCATGAAAGTTGGTTTTGCCAGGAATTTTTCTGCTTCCTTATTACAATTCTAGAAGGAAGACTGAGAATAACCCTTCCAAATCTGGCAGTAGCTCCTGCAATAGTGGAAATCCCACAACCTGAAGCAGACTGACCCTCTATAAAGCTTTAAGAAATTTCTTAGGCAAGCCAATGATATTGGTACAGGAGTTGCAATAACTCAGGAACAACTGGATTTGACCGTCTGGGGCTGTCTACACTAGCAAGAATCACATCTGAATTCAGTAGCTACACACCAGCTAAGAAGCTCCTTAAGCCCCATTTAAGCTCAAAAGAATTTGGTAGTAACCTGTCTCCTACTAATCTGCTCACCAATGTTTGAAAACTTCCTCCAATTTAAATGGCACTTCTGAACAATCAAGATGGAGAGAAGTTTCCAACGTCTGTTGAACAGAATGGTAGAATCCAGGCCAGAAAGTCATACTGGCTGCTGTGCCAGTTTGCAAGTGTGGACAGCCCTGCCATAGTCTTTTAACACAGCATAGCAAAAGAATCCCAGCCCCAAGGCATTAGTGCTCTTTCAAGCTAACCCTGCACACCAGCCATACAGCTAAAACCCACACATGTTAACTTACAGTGAACTAACTTTACACAGCAGGTTTAAAAAAAGAGACACATTTATTCAGCGTCATGATCAGTCTATTACAGTTAGCAATCGAACAGCATGGGTGTGGAAAAAAATTAATCTACATAAAAGCCCTCGTTGGAATGCTTTGTACTTTCCACAGAACACAAAAAACTAAAATATCCTGTTATACAGTTAGTCACAAATACAGTCCTGATGTTTGCCAACAAGCGTTTGTCTAACACATGTCTTCATGAGGCAGCTCTACCCTGCCACAACTGTGTTTGGCTGAGTTCACAACTGTGGTAACCTGTAGCTTCCCTGTCACTTCTCTGGCTCTCCTCTCCTGCTAAGCTTTGTTTCCTGTTGAATAATATGGAATAAAGTTGTTAATCTAAACACATTGAGACTCAAGGCTACAATCCAATAGCAAGTTTGTTCCCACCGACTGCCAATCCATACATTAGCTTTTAACATCTGCATTTTAGTCCAGTTATGCTTAAACTACTTGATAACTTGCTTAACTACATTAAGCATTACAGTTTACAGTACATTGGTACTGCATAGTCAACTGGAAAGGGTTAAAGAGGTAATCCTTACCGAGGAATTAAAATCTCCTTCCACCACCGTAGCTACTTCCACTGCCAGAGCCACCACAGCCACCTGGGGGGGGGGGGGGGGAGAGAAAAAAAAATGAGGCTCCAGGTTTCAGGCACAGAAAATGGGCACTTAAGAGTGACAGAAAGATGGAGGTAGGTAACCGGAATAGCTCAGCAGAATGAGAACAATAATGGCTTATCAGGGAGTGGAAATATATACGGGTGTGTGAGATGATTACCAGAGAAAAAGAGATAGAAACACATGACTGAAAGCTGGATCTGTCACATCTCTAACTGGTGGTCTCCAATGGGTTTCTAGATGACACACATAAAGAGTACAACCTTATGCTTATTTTTCACGGAACGTAGTGACAACTTCCAAGTGAAAATGCATGGAACCATTAAGGAACAGGCCAGAACATGGTACAGTTTTCATTTTTGTTCAGCAGTACTTACCACCACTTCCACCGTATGGGCCTGAGCTCCTGCCTCCAAAGTTTCCACCTTTCATCGGTCCAAAGTTTGAAGACTGGCTGTTGTAGCTGCCAAAATCGTTGTAGTTTCCGCCTCCCCCAAAGTTGCTTCCTGAATAGAGAAATGTTTTACATTGCCTTGTCACAAAAGAA